GACATTCAAAGGGTTTTTCTCCTGTGTGAGTCCTCTGGTGTTTCACCAGGCTGGAATTCTCACTGAAACTTTTCCCACAATCAGGACATTCAAAGGGTTTCTCTCCTGTGTGAGTCCTCTGATGGCTCACCAGGTTGGAATTCTGACTGAAACATTTCCCACAAACAGGACATTCAAAGGGTTTTTCTCCTGTGTGAGTCCTCTGATGATTCACCAGGCAGGAATTCTGACTGAAACTTTTCCCACAATCAGGACATTCAAAAGGTTTCTCTCCTGTGTGAGTCCTCAGGTGGCTCACCAAGTGGGAATATGCAATGAAATGTTTCCCACAATCTGGACAGTCATATGGCTTCTCTCTGCTGTGAGTCCTCATATGTATCACCAAGTTGCCATTTTTGCTAAAGGGTTTACCACATTGGAAGCACTTGTAGGACATCTCTTCTGGGTGGGTTCTTCCGTGAAGGAAAAAGGATCTGTTTGACAAAAACTTTTGCCACATTCAGATAATTTGTATCTGCTTTTCTCCAGAGTAGATTCTCCCCTGCGTAGTCACTTGCAATTTGTAGTCTGCTTCTTCCTTTAAAGGCACACCTATGGAGCTTTTCCACCACTGATAACCTTTTCCTCCCAACTGACTTCCAGATATTTTCCTCTTTTTCTGAATGGAAAAATAATCTCCCTTGACCTTTTTGTGTATTGTGTGCTTGAGTTCCATATACTCTACTTTTTGCAGAACGAAATCTCTCATTGATTTTCTTTCCTTTGCCTCTCATCTGCTGTGGAAGGAGAAGAATTGTGTGGGTTTTTTGATGGAAATGGACAATATCTTTATTTCTGCCTCAATCTGTTTTGCATTTCAATATTGCTTGTTATTCTCAGTTGTCCAGTGTGGTCTTCTGGCATCATCTTTGTCTGCAAGAAAATGAAAATGTAGCTTTTATTGCTTATAAAAGGGTTGCAGAAAATGTGAAAAAGCGTACATTACAATGAAAAAGCAAACATGCCACAATGATAGAATAATCTCTTACTTTAATAGTAATATTAATTACTGAGTTCCAGTTCAAATATCAATTCAATCATTAAATTCAGTCGTTGATTGAGGTCAGTCACAGATTTTCAGACCTCCAAATCAAATACAGTTATATGAAGAAGAAAGTACACCCTCGATCTTTATGATTTTATGTATCACAACATAGTAAAAATAATTTCATCCTTAGCACTTTTAAAAATAGGTAAATATAATGTAAGATGAGCATCAACAGATAATATATTATACCTATGTCTTCATTTTTTTTTTACAAAAACAAAGCAAAAGCAGAGACATGAAAAACTAAAAACACTGTTACTTCTTCCATAGGTATGAAGAGGCGAAGTAGCAGCCGGTGCTGCTGATCAAATGCACTTGATCAATTGATCATCAGCAAGTGTGACTATATCTATAAAAGGCAAAGTTGTAGGAGTTTCCTGGTCTCCAGCACTGAGGTGTGAATTAGATGCCAAAGAGTAAAGACATCAGCGGGGATCTTAGAGAAGCAATTGTTGCTGCCCTTCAATCTGGGAAAGGTTTAAAGACTTTTTCCAAACAATTTAAACTCCATCATTCTATGTTCCACATTCACAAGTGGAAAATATTCAAGACACTTGCCAATCTTCTCAGGAGTGGCAGTGCCAGCAAATTCACCCCAGGTTCAGAACACGCAATGCTCAGAGAAATTACAAAAAATCCAAGCATTGCATCTCAGGCTCTACAGGCCTCATTTAGCATGTTAAATGTTAAAGTTCATAACAGTACAATTAGAAAAAGACTGGACAAGTACGGTTCATTTGGAAGGGTTGCTAGGAAAAAACCTCTGATTTCTAAAAAGGATATGGCAGCAACACTTAAAATTTGCAAATTTGCATCTGAACAAATCACAAGACTTTTGGAACACTGTCCTTTGGATGAGACCAAAGTGGAAATATTGTCCATAAAGCACAGTGTCATCTTGATGAAAACCAAACCAAACATCAACACAAACGTCTCATATCAACTGTCAAGCATAGTGATGAAGGGGTGATGATTTGGGCCTGTTTTCCAACCAAAGGACCTGGCTACTTTGCAGTTACTCAGTGGTTTATGCACTCATCTCTATACTATAGTATTCAGAATCAGAATAGATCTGGAAGGGACCCTAAATGTCTTCTACTACAACCCTCTGCTCAAGCAGGAGATTCTATATTATTTCAGACAAGTGACTATCCAGTGTCTTCTTCAAAACGTCCAGTGATGAAGCACCCACAGGGCCTGAAGGCCAACTGTTCTACAGGTTCATGTCCTCACTGTTAGGAAGTTTCTCCTTAATTCCAGGTTGCTTCTTTCCTTGATTAGTTTCCATCCATTGTGTCTAGTTTCCATCCATTGTGTCTGGAAAATAAGTTGACCCGCCTCCTTTGTGGCAGCTTCTCGAATATTGGGCTACTGCTACCATGTCCCCTCTTGTCCCTCTTTTCTGTAAATGAGCCAAATCCAAATCCTACAACTGTTCTTCAGGTTTTAGTCTCCAGGTCTTTAATCAACTTAATTGCTCTTTGTACTTTTTCCAAAGTCTCAACATCTCTTTTGTACTTTGATGACCAAAATTGGATGCAGTATTCTAGATATGGACTTACTAAGGTTTTATAATGCAGTGCTAATACTTTACGTGATTTTGATTCTAGAGTCAAATTTGAGACCATCTGTGCAATAGCAGTTTCTCACACATGGCTTCTTTGTTTTGCCTTTCTTTCTGCAAAATACATCATGACAAGATGTAAGATGTTAGTATGGTGTTGATCATCTGAGGGTATATTTACCTACTTTTAAGATTTCTAAGGACCAGATGATTTTTTACTATGTGCTGATAGGTAAAACCATAGAACTCAAACAGGGTGTACTTTCTTTTTCACATGGCTGCATATTTGGATAAAATGGGAATAGATTATACATTTGGAAATATACGTGTACAAAGAGAAATACAAATACAAATGTATAAATGGAGAAAATCCATGTGTTTCAAGCCTGAAAAATGTCCCAAAATGGTTAATGTCAAACCTTCTGAGGTAATTTATAGATGTGGGGCTTTAATTGATGCTTTTATGGTGCCATGATAACTTCGAAGGCTCAGGAAATAAGTGGTAAGTGAGGACTACCTATACAACTGAACATCCCAAAAAGATTACAAATTGCTAGGTTAAGCACAGTTGAACCTGATTAATACACAGATGGGACACAAATAGGAAATATTGTGTTTGTTGGGTAGACATGGAATTTAAAAAAAAAAATCTCAAGAGAGCAGAGGAAGATCAGTCTGATATCGTTGCCAAAAAAACAGCAGGCCTATAAGAGAATAACTGAGTTGGAAGGGACCTTGGAGGTCTTCTAGTCCAATCCCTGCTCTGACAGGAGACTTTATATCATTCCTGATTAATTGCTGTCCCATCTCTTCTTGAAACCCTTCAGTGATGAAGAACTCACAACTTTTGGAGGCAAGCTGTTCCCAAGGAATTAATCTTAACTTGAAGGAGGATTTTTAAAATCTTCCCACCAGAAGAAAATTGCGGCCACTACTGTTAAAGCTTGGAGCACCAGCGGACTCAAAAATTGGGGAGGAAAGGAACATGTAGCAGCAGCTGATATGCTTCAGCCTAGTTGCTTCTCTGCTTCCACATCCCGGAAGAAACCCAACAGCCCTACTTGCTCCCAGCCTCTCCTCCCACCTGATCTCTACTCACCTTCCAGCTGCTGTTTCGACCCTTGGAAGAGCAGAAAAACCACTCTGCACACCAACTTTCTCCCATGAGTGATCCGGAAGAAGATCCTCTCCTCCCATCCTTTCTAGCAATGCTGTACTCGATGGTTTTAACTCCTTTAAGCTCAACCACATATGCCTATTAAAGGCTTTCTAGTCACTAATATGTGACTGCTATATGCCAATAGGATAGGAGGCAAAAGAACACGCTTGTCTGTCTCTAACGTGTTCGTGAGATATTTTCACTGATTAAATGCTACTAAGTCGTTGATGAGTCCTAGGAACCTATGTTGGCAACTGATCCATGTGAAATAGTGAAATGTGACACAAAAGTAGGTTGTGAAGATTAGCTATGTGCTGAGCCCTAAATGTTTATGAAGTTCTTACAGGATTACATACTTGGAAGAGATCAATTCTCCACGCAGGAGACCCTATACTGTTCCAGACAAATGGATGTCCAATCTCCTCTTTAAAAACCCCATTATGGAGCACCCACAACTTCTACAGGCAAAGCATTTCCACTTATTGTTCTCACTGAAAGGAAATTTCTCCTTGATTCTAGGTCGGATGTCTTTTTGATAAGTATCCCTGTTACTCTTTGTGCTGCTCTGAGGGCAGAGGTGGTATTCAGCAGGTTCTGATCAGTTCTGGAAAACATGTAGTGGAAATTTTGAGTAGTTCAGAGAACTGGCAAATACCACCTCTGACTAGTCCCGCCCCCATCTATTCTCCGCGTCCCGAGTCCCAGCTGATTGGCAAGGTCTTCTTTGGTTGCCCTGCACAGGAGAACAGAGCTGGAAAGCAGGTTAGTGGGGTGGGGAAGGAATCAGGGCTGGGATTCAATTTTTTTAACAACCGGTTCTGTGGATGTGGCTTAGTTGGTGGGTGTGGTATGGTGGTCATGGTACTGGGTGGATGTGGATTGGTGGTCATGTTATTGGCTGGGTGTGGCCAACTCAATATCATTCACATCGAGGCAAGCATCTCCTCGTCTGGCCTCTCATGACTGTGGGGATGCTGCAACAGTCGTAAGTGTGAAAAATGGTCATAAGTCACTTTTTTCAGTGCCATTGTAACTTTGAATGGTCACTCCACACAAGCAAAGTACCAGCAAAGGAGGGGGGAAAAACTCCAGAGATGTTTCTGAGCAGGAAGTCTAGTCCTGCCAAGAATGTAATAAGGGTTAATGGAGAGGCAGTTTCTGTAAGCAACACCAGAATGTTTCCTTCCTGCCTTCCTTACAGGATTAGGCCAGTAATTCCTTGTAACAACCGGTTCTCCAAACTGCTTAGAATGTTAACAACCGGTTCTAGCAAATAGGTGCGAACTGGTAGAATCCCACCCCTGGAGGGAATGGGGATTTTGCAGTATCCTTCCCCTGCCACACCCAACAGGCCACACCCACCAAACCATGCCCACATAACCAGTAGTAAAAAAAATTGAATTCCACCATGTCTGAGGGGCATTGGACAATAGGTCCACCCCCTCTTTTCTTTTCTTTTTTAAAACAAGTTTTATTAATTTTTAAAACACACAAATTATCATTATTCATTACATGTTTAAACCTTTTTCCATTGTAAATTTAACAAGTCAGATAAATTATGATTCTGTTTTAAACCATTTCCATATAATATACCAAAACCTCTTATTCAATTTCTCTTTACTTCTCTTTACTCTTATTCAATATCATTATTATTATTTCATCTGATTCTTTCTGACTTAGTTACCATTATTCTCATTCTATATTTCTACAAGTTTTTACCAATTCTCCCCCCAAAAAAGACATATACACACAACACACAAAACATAAAAAAAAATCTTTTTGGAAAGTAACTTGGGCCCAGGTATCTCTCTCTTCATGGACTTCAATTATATTCATGCTCATCTTACATATCATTACTTATTTTATTTACCATTCTAAACCTTCTATATTAACTTCTCCACATATTTCACACTTCTTAATTCTACCTTAATTAATCATCTTAGTTTAAATCATTATATTTGTATCTTTTGTCCATTTTTTATCATCCCTTTGTCTCATCCCTTATGAAAAAAAAAGAAAATCAGTTTCTCCTGAAATCATTAATCAGAGTATGATGCCTTTCTATCTCCCCCCTAAGTTAATCAAATTAATCTTTAAAATAATATCTAATACCCAATCAGATTTTGCTTGGTACATTCTATCTAACTAATACATCCAACACAATTAAGTGCATAATTAGACAATAAATCCAAATATTAAAAAGAAATACTATAATAAAAATTTTATAATAACATCAATACCATAATTTTATTAAACTCTTTAATTAAAACAATATTCTAAACCTCTCCTATTATTAAGTTTTAAAGCCAATCATTTTTAAACATTTTAACATTTTAATCTCTTATCAACTCTTAAACCATTGCAATACTACCATCTCATCTTATGTACCTTGCAAAATCTTTTTTTTTTTAAAAAAAATTATACTTTATCCATTATCCATAAAAAATTCCTTTTTTCCATTTAATTTCAAAACATTGTAGCTTTTCTCCACCTTTTCCCTTTCTTTCTTCTCCCAACAAACCTTTCTACCCCCCCTTCTTCTAGCCTCTGCCTTACCGGCTTCCCTTCTCTGTCGTATTTCTTTTCCCCTTTGTTTACAATCATCATATTGGTTTTGCACTTTATTTTTCCCTTTCTTAAATGTTTTTTTGGATCTTAAGTCCTTAAATCCTTTAGTTTTCTTCTTTTCTCTTCTCTTCTTTTCTTTCTCTCTTCCTTTTTTCTGGATCAAATTCTGAGATTCATTAAAGATGGCTCCTTCCTTTCTTTCTTGTTCCTCTGCTGTCTTCATCTGTTGTAATTTTTGTTGATAATTAGTAAGCGCCATTTCTAAGAAAAGGAAAGCTTCTTCCACACCATCTTTACCATTTTTTTTTGCTTGTTCATATTCTTTTCTTAGTTCCTCAACAGAAAGAGCCATTATAAATCTTTTCTTTTCTTTTCTCCTTCTTTCTTCTTACAACAACCAGAATATTCAAAAGAAAATAAAAAAGATAAAACAGTCCCAAAGTTATCAATCAGTCCAAACCAAGGCAGAGTTCTCACTTTCTCCTTCTGGGGTAATATCAATCAAAGAGAAAGAAAGTCCAAATCTGTTTAAAATCTTATTACAATATATTCTAGTCTTCAAATCCTTAAGGCATCTGCTCCAACAAATCTTAGCATACAAATATTTTCTTCTTAATCCTCTCTCTTCCCACTCATCGCTTAAAACCAATTTCCACCTAAAAAAATAGGTTTCTTAATATCCAGTTATTTATTCCGTAGGAAAAGAGGGAAAGCTATCCTTTCAGCACCTTCAAGCAGCCGCTTTTTTCCTCTTCTGGCAGGTATTATTCAGAGAATCATACTTTTCAGGAATTTTATTAAATATGTCTTAGAGTCCTAGGAGCCAAGAAAAACTTTCTCCTCTCAATCACTTTCTCCACTTCCTCCTGCACATTCTTACCCGGCTGCCAGCTTCTTTGTGGCGGCCATTACGGACCGCCGCTGCACCGTCCTGGGAAAAGGGAGTTCTGCCGGCCAGGGAGGGAGTCTGCAGCACCCCCAAACCCTTCTCCGGATCCCCCCTACTTCAGCTGCCCCTGCAGGGCAGCCTAGCTCCGTACCCGGCTGGGTCGGAGCCCCAAAAACGGCTAGCGCGGCAGGGATCGCGCAGCTTCGCAAATCCCTGCCGCTCGCGAAGCCGACAAACCGGAAGTCCCAGGTCCACCCCCTCTTTTCTGTTTCAGCCCCTCAAATGATGTAACTTCAGACATTCTCTGTGTTAGACTAGATATATCCAGTTCCTGCAATAGTTCATTGTAGAACTACTTTGGAGTACAAACACAGAAATTACAAGAAAGAGGGTATGTTCTAAGTCAAAAGAAGAACATAGAACAATTCTTAAAAAATATGGATAGTTGTGGAAATAGAACAATCTGTAATCCAGAACTCTACCAGGCAGTCCTAGGAGGTCTGTTATGCAGTATTTATCACATTCTGTGGCCAGATATTACCAATTCAGTCAACATTTTAAGCCATTGCACATTACAACCTACAAATAGCACTGGTTAGGAATTAAAAGGATACTGTGTTACTGAAAGGGAACCAGGGATTTTTAGAATTGAATTTACAACAATCTCGTGAATTGGAATTGAAATGCTTTGTAGACAGTATTTGGGCTGATGATGTACAAGATAGAAAGTCAATGTCAGGATTTGTTATGATGTTAACAAACACGGTAACTAGTTAAAAATCTAGAAAACAGACTTCAGTTGTCATTTCCACAGCAGCAGCACAATTCATAGCATTATCAGAATTGTCTTCAGAGTTGACATGGTATATATGGTTAGTGAAGGATTTGGCTATTGAAGTGAAAGGAGGTATACCAATATTTTAAGATAACACAACATGTATACTAATGGCAATAGGTGCGAGTACAAACCAGAAGGAATCATGTTGACATAATGTAATATCAGGGAAGGAAAATACAATAGACATAATTTATTGTCCAGCAGAAAACAATTTAGCTGACTTCCTGACAAAACTATTAAGTATACAAAAACACAAAGATCTTGTGAAATAATTTGGTTTCAATGCTGTCCAGCTATAAATTGGAGGGGTGTTAGGATTTTAAATTTAGTAGCTGGAACAGTAAAATTGTACAATGGGCAAGAACAGACAGCTCTAATTTGATTGGTTAGAGAGTGCTGGCTCCTGCGTGAGGCAATCTACGCTATGATTGTTTGCTGTAGGTGTAAAGGGGGAGTTTCCCATTTTTCCCGTTTTTTTCCTTCTTCGTCTGTGTGCTCTGTATCTTATCTGGATTTACATCAGGATGTTTCTGTGTTGCTGACCATCTTGTTTGCTGTAAAAATGTTAAATGTATTCATTTATATAAAACTACAAATTTACCTCAGTGTCTCTGATTTGATTTGGAAACTTGCTGCATAATTCCCTGACAGAGAACTGTCTCTATTACACCCAGAAAATAAATCCACTTGCAGTAGATGTCATTTGCTGGAAACA